AAATGGTAACTTAAATGGTAACTGCGGAATTTGCAGAATTTGTTGAATCTGTTGAATTTGTTGAATGTGTGTTACCATTTAGTGCCTTAGAGAAATATTTAGGAAGATTAGTTAGAATAACCTATTTTTTTTTTAAATAGGTAGAATAATTTTACTATTTTTTTATTGCTGAAATAACCTATTCTAAATTTTTTTTCTTTCATAATACCAAAATTGTCCTTCGCAGACTTTGCCGAGGTATTGACAGATTCTGCCGAAACATTGGCAGATTCTGCCGAAACATTAGCAGACTCTACCGATGTATTGGCAGATTCTGCCAATATCTAAAAATATGCAAATTCTACTAAAACATTGACAGAGTCTGCCGAACATTGGCAGAGTCCGCCGATACATTGGCAGACTCTGCCAAGATATTGACAGACTCTGCCGAATCATTGGCAGACTCTGCGGAAACATTGGCAAACTCTGCCAATATCTAAAAATACGCAGACTCTGCCAATGTTTCGACAGAATCTATCAATACCTCGGCAAAGTCTGCCAAGAACAATTTTGGTATTATGAAAGAAAAAAAATACAGAATAGGTTATTTCAACAATAAAAAAATGGTAAAGTTATTCTAGCTATTTTTAAAAAAAAGTAGGTTATTCTAGATAAATTTTTCAAATATTTATCTATAGCAATATGCCAATATTGTTATTATTATGTAAATTAGTAAGAAAAACTGAAAAAGTACTTCACTGTTAAATAATACTGTTATTATTATGTAACACACTTAAAAAAATACGCTAAGAGACGTCACTTTTTTCAAGTCACTTTCCTAACCGACGTCAAAAGTTGAAATTGTAAAGGATTTAACGTCGCTTATACAACCGACATCGTTTAATAACTGAGTAAAAAGGATACATTGTTTATCTTTTTCTTTATTATGAATATTTTTTTTTTATGAATAGTCTGACAAAAGAAAAAGAAAAAAAAAGGTTTGCGAGTATGCGATACGGACTCGAACGCTTCCAAAATTTCTTTTGAGCTTCTCGTCACTTTGCGATTCATATAGTTAGATTTCTGTGTAGAATCTTTCGAGGATAAGTCTCAAATTTCGCTTTCGAGATTTTATTTCAAGGTAATTTCTGAACAGATTTCGAATTACTTCCTTTAAGTTTCGAATTTTTGTATAAATTGCTTCGGATTTATCCTCCAATAGCTCGGATTTGTTCGGATTTGCTGTATATAACCCTCGGATTTGCTGTATATAACCAATTCTAACATCGATTTTACAAATTTCGTTGAAGGAGAGTGGATTCGTGAAGTAAATTTGGGGTCAAGTTTTTTGGAGCAGTGAAACTCAAATTTCAGAGAATTTCCCAGGTAATCTATATGGAATTTGTGTGTTGCTACGATTTAGCTCTCTGTCTTTGATAATCTTCAGTGGTGAATCTTAAATTTCTGTGTGTAATTTTAGACAGTGTTTTGATTTTGGTTAGTTTCTTTTGCATAATCTGAATTTTGCGTAAATGATTAGGTTAACTTTGGGGGAAATTTGAATGGGTTTACCGTATTTGTGTTTAACATTAGGGAATTAGAGCAGTTAATTCCAAAAATCTCATGATATAATTGTTCTGATGATTGTATAGCAAAAACTATTCTGGAAATTCAGCTACCTCTTTTTTTTTTTGTGTGTTTTACTAGAATTTATGCGTACTTGTTTTTATTTCCAGCAACATAGTGTGGTAGGAATATTTGATTGAAGTTTTATCTGCAAAATATTGATGATTGATTTACTGTATTCGTAGACTGGTTTTAAAAGGGATAAGTCTTGGATGACAAAACATCGTTTATCTCAAGATTACATGATGGGAGTTAAAAATTTCCTGGATTTTGCATTTGGTAATATGAAGACAGACATGATAAAGTGTCCGTGTCAGCATTGATGTAGAAACTTGAAGCAACGCATTTGAACAAGTATTTGGTTCAAAGGATAAGCTTATTATGAATCAGAATATTAAAAATGAAGCATTTGAACAAGTATTTGGTTCAAAGGATGCATTTGAACAAGTATTTGGTCCCGAACATTCTGGAAGAGTTCGATGTGTAGGACATGGCCCGATACCATCCAAATACTTTAAGAGATTGGAAACGCAAACACCAAGTGCTGCTGAGATGGTTGAGATTAAGTCTTACGTGAAAAGACTTGAAGATAAGGTTGATACTGAGATGGTTGAGATTAAAAGACTTGAAGATAAGGTTGATACAGTGGCTTCTGCTCTTCATACTCTGGTTTTAAGGATTCAACCCCAAGTAAGTGCACATTTCTTATGGTCAATATTAAATTGTTTTAACTTCCTGAATAATCTAAATAGTAATTACTTATCTATGATTTCAGACAAGTACCGTGACAAACAATGCAAATTGACCTGGATTACTTATCTATGATTGTTCTGGATTTCAATAAAGAATGGTATGTTCATCAAATGCTTTACTTTTATGGTTTATGGCTTCTCTGTTTCTTTCAAAAGTGACCATTCTTTTAAGCTAGTTATTGCATCCTAGTGGAACGTATAATACTTAAGGTTAGTTTTCTATTCTTTTAAGTAGATTTAGTTGTTTATTGAAGCTTAATATAGCTTGGAATCTGATATGGGATTGAGTTACTATGATACTTGTATGAAAGTTGTCACAAAAAATTGAATGCCAGAGTTCTTAAACTGCCCATTTTAAATAAAATTGTTTGTTCTTATCTTTGATTGCAGGCAAAAATGGCTTACAAAGACTCCAGCCTAAAATTGGAAGAGTGATTCATAGTAGCCTTCATGTTCAGTACTAAAAATTGGCCAATTCTTGTTTGAATGTTTTGAGGTTTTGTATTTTTCAAGATATTTATGTTTTAATCTACAGCTACATATTTTATTGATTGAAATTTGATATGGGTCAATTGTTGTTTCAAACTTTTAGTTTATTTGAGAAAGTAGCATAAAATATACACATTGACAAAACAAACGAAATAATAATAATTGAATAATGGATTTGGCGTCGGATGTATAACCGATATTAACAACCGACGACAATTCTTTGGACGTTAAACTTCGCGTCATTTAACAAAGGCATTAAATGGTAACACACATTTAACAGATTCAACAAATTCTACAAATTTCGCAGTTACCATTTAAGTTACCATTTATTTAGCAAATTCTGCAATTCAACAAATTCTACAATTCAGCAGAAATTCAGCAAATTCTACAATTTAACAGAAATTCAGCAAATTCTGTAATTCAGCATAAATTCAGCAGAAATTATGCGGTTATCATTTACACCCATAGGRTTTAAAATTTTAAGATTTAGACGCTAAAAAA